TCCCACATATGAGGGCCAGTGACACTGCCCTCCACAGCTAAGATGCTGAACAACAGCTCAACCTGGAGCTGGGCTGCCATGAGTCGCCGGCGACGGCGTAGGCTGCAGCCCCTGTGGCAGTGGGTTGCCATGGGCTACCGTATGTAGCCAGCAGCCAGCGTGAGCGGCCAGCAGCCGCTGTGAGCGGCCGTCCAGAAGCCGGCGACTGATCTGCCTCACCCGGGAAGAGCGCAATGATGGTGCCAACTTGGGTCAGTGAAGCAACGTCCTCCACAACTAGACTGAAGAACAAAACGACAGCAACTAGTCTGTTCCCTTTCCCCCAATTCCCCAGCACTGTTCCCATCCCCCCAGTTCCCCAATTAAAAAAAAAAAGAAGTTAATTTCAGGTATATTAAGGGCTAAAAGAGAAACGCAAATATCTCTAACTTGTAAAAATAGATACAGGAGAATATCTTTTTAAAGTCAAGTAGGGAAGGATTTCTTAAACAAGCTATAAAAAGCACCAGACATGAAGGCAGATCAACAAATTAAACTTCATTTGAGTTAAGAAATCCTGTTGAGCAAAAGACATCATACAACACAGGAACCAGCTTAAGAGACCTTCACCTGCCAAATGTGGGTCAATCTGACCATCAAAATAAAATAAGATTAGGAAGGCTTAATAACCCATCGAAGAAAAGAGTACATGAATTGGAGCATTTGAGATCTTGCTCCCCAGCTCATATGTTATGAGTTTTGGTTCAAATAAACTCTTATAAAAAATACATGAATTTATACAGGTATAAATAAATAATTTGATGAGAAAAGCTCTTCTTTACAGTAGAAAGCCAATTACTAGAGGTACAAGGAAAGATGAAATTAGAAAACTACTATTCGGTAACTATCATATTAATAATTCAGGCAAAATCATCAATGGACATAAAATGAGTGGACTTAAGCAGTAAAGTAACAGGATAATTACAAAGTCCCATAGTATCTCCCCACAATATCCTTATTAATTACAAAGGGGAAAATAGTAACTTTATACGAAGAAATTTGACAGGCCCCACCTTAACCAAGTGGTGAAATTTAATATCACCAGCAATGCGATCAAGCTACATCACATGCCTCTGTGATGCACTGAGGACACAGCATCAAAAATACATTGCCTTAATCTAATCGTGAATAAACATTAGACAAATCGAAACTGAGGGACGGTCTATGAAATCACTGGTCAATAATTTCCAAAAATGTCACTTATGAAACACAAAGAAACACTGTTCCAGATTAAAGGACGTAAAGAGACATAGCAACTGAATACAACACAGGATATGGGATTTGCTTTTGCTCTAAAGGGCACTACTAGGATGATTGGTAAAATCTGAATAAGGCCTGTAGATTAGATAATGGTAGTGTATCAGTGTTAATTTCCTGATTTTGAGACTTGTTCATATGAGGGACTATTCTTGTTTTTAGGAAATATACACTGAAATATTGAGGTGTAAAAAGACATCATTCTGCCTCTGCCCCTTAGTCTCAAATGTCTTGGCGGGAGGAAAGGAGAGAGGAGAGAATAAATATGTGTATATTATATACATAATATAATTATATATATATATATATATATATATATATATATATATATGAGAGAGAGGGAGAGAGAGAGAGGATGCAAATGTGGTGAAATGCTAACATTTGGGGAATCTGGGTGAAGGGTATGAAGGAATTCTTTGTACCACTTTTGCCACTTTTCTGTGTAAGTCTGAAATTATGTCAGGATAAAAAATTAAAAGTAAAACAGGACACCATAAAGAAAGTGGAAAGACAAATTGGGAGAAGATATTGGTGGGATATAGCGAACAAATGATTACCGTCTGGAATGTGTAAAGAACTCTCATAAGTTCTCAAGAAAGACAAACAACCCAATAGAAAAAAAACGGGCACTCATCTTATGTGGGAACTTATGGGAACAGCCAAAAACCTATGGAAAGATGTCCAACATCATCAGTAAACAGGAAAAGGCAAACCCAAACCACGACGACAGTCTACTTCATACTCGTCAGACGAATGAGTGTCCATCAGTCAAAGATAACTGTTGGCGAGGAGGGGCAGCGACTGGAATGCTCATCCAGGTGGGGCTGTAAATTGGTGCCATCACTTTGGAAAACTGTTGGGCATTATCTAGTTGGGTTGACACTACACGTCCCTTGGGCCCCAGCAATTCCACTGCTGGGTGTCATATACCCTGGAGAGACTCCTGCCCATAAGCACCAGGAGGTATGTCCAGGAAGAACGGTCATAGCCACCCAAACAGGCACCACGTAGCCCTCCCCATGCCGCCTTACCTGAGTGAGAATCCAGAATCACTGCATTACAGGTGGGGGAGCTGAGGCATGGAGAGGGAAAGACGTTGCCCCAAACACCATGTGGGTGCTGAGGAAGGGTCAGAGGTCAGGTGTGGCAGCGGAAGGGAGAGAAGAGAGAAAGGAGAAGAGGAGAGGAGGGTAAGGAAAAAAAAGGGGAGGAAGCTGTCTTGGTCTCACCTGGCAAACTGAAAGCCAGGGTGGAAGAAACTCCATTGTATCCCTTCCTCCTGGCACCATTTGGGCTCCTGGAGCTCGGGGAGCGGTACTGAGGCAGCCTGCCTCCCTTTGGCCCAGAAAGAAGCTCCCATGGATGGAGCAGAGGAGAAGCTGCCCAGCGATGAAGAACCCTTCCTCCCTCCAGCGTGTCCCGCACCCTCCAGGGACCCTCCCAGCACTGGGTACTTTCTCCCTAGAAAAGGTTCCAACATGACAGGTTTGCAAATATGCCACAAGGTCCAGGGGCCTCTAAGCCTCATCCACAAAACCAGACCCCCTCCCTAGCTCCCTAGGTCACTCGGCCAGCAGATGGCACCAAGGACATAATGCTGTGACAACACGGCCACAGCCTAGGGGGTCATGGGCTACACAGAAGCCCAGCAGATTTGAAATGATGTTCTTTTCCTCAGGACCAGGTTTAATTCTTGGGTGAGGGGCCCTCCTGTACCAGTGTCTGTGAGTGGAAAGGGAGTAACAGAGGATTCATCCCTCCCTCCCCTGCACAGGACAAGCCGCCTAGTTCAGGCCACTGAAAGGGAGGGCCTCCAGGGAAGACGGGGTTTCGGGACTGCCCAAGTACACCCTCCTGGAGAGCCAGGCAGTGAGCAGTAGCACAGCCAAACATGGCAGACCTTCGAGACAGCCTGGCCTTTGCAGTGAGAGCTTGGAGACTTGGGGAGCCCCCCTCGGGGGTGCCAAACCTGCCTGGTCAGGACTGGGGTCAACTATGGGACTCTCAGATGCCAGGGCCTTCCTATCCAAAGTCTCTGTGTCTGTGGGTAGTGGGGCAACTTGTGTCCACAGTGATGTTTCTGGAACATCAGGTGTGTGTCCCCATGGGACCAATGGGGACACAGCCTCTTTCTCCACCCTACTTGACTTGTGTAGGCCACTTGGGCAAGGCCTAAGGGTTCCTGGAACCTGTGCCCCACCCCAAACACCCTATTACAGCAAGGGGTAAGCTGAGGCCCAAGAAAGGAGAGGCTTGCCCAAGGGCCCACTGGGCTTCCTTCTTCACAATTCTCTGGCCCTTGTGAAAGCTTTTGCTTCAACCATCTTCTCAAAGAGGCATGGAAGCTACGGGGATGTTCACAAGGACTCGCAGGTCTCAGCTGTCTGTGCTGCTGGCTGAGTAAACCGTCGTGGAGTGGAACCGTTCACCTGGGTGGGCTCTCTTGCCTCCTGCAGGTGGAGGCCTTTTCCCCGGGTGCCCACTTCCTGCTCCCTGCATTTTCCAGCTGACCCCCAGAGCCTCGCCCTCCCCCCCGCCCCAACCTCAGGCCCCAGGGTCAAGTCACAGGCCAGATGGGGACTGGGGAAACTTCCTGCTGGCAGCCTGGAATACTGCCCTCATTCTCTGGAGCTCAGCTCCAGGAGATGGAGGCCGAGACGCACAGCCCCACGCTGAAGGCCATGCAGTGGGTAGATGCTACTGCCCTGGGTTGGAATCCCAGCACCTCCACTTACCAGCTCTTTGCCTGGGCCCAGTTCTTAACCTCCTGGCACCTGAGTTTCATCTGCAAAATCAGGTTAATGGTAGTCCCCTGGTTAGAGCCTGAGTAGGTAAGAGCTCTGTGGTTGCTAACAGCATCAGCTGGTCCTGAGCCATCACTGTCCTAAAAGCCAGAACACCTGAGGCAGGTTTGGCACCCCCCCTCAGGGGGGCTCCCCAAGTCTCCAAGCTCTCACTGCAAAGGCCAGGCTGTCTCGAAGGTCTGCCATGTTTGGCTGTGCTACTGCTCACTGCCTGGCTCTCCAGGAGGGTGTACTTGGGCAGTCCCGAAACCCCGTCTTCCCTGGAGGCCCTCCCTTTCAGTGGCCTGAACTAGGCGGCTTGTCCTGTGCAGGGGAGGGAGGGATGAATCCTCTGTTACTCCCTTTCCACTCACAGACACTGGTACAGGAGGGCCCCTCACCCAAGAATTAAACCTGGTCCTGAGGAAAAGAACATCATTTCAAATCTGCTGGGCTTCTGTGTAGCCCATGACCCCCTAGGCTGTGGCCGTGTTGTCACAGCATTATGTCCTTGGTGCCATCTGCTGGCCGAGTGACCTAGGGAGCTAGGGAGGGGGTCTGGTTTTGTGGATGAGGCTTAGAGGCCCCTGACCTTGTGGCATATGTGCAAACCTGTCATGTTGGAACCTTTTCTAGGGAGAAAGTACCCAGTGCTGGGAAGGTCCCTGGAGGGCCCGGGACACGCTGGAGGGAGGAAAGGTGCTGCATTTTTGTGGCACAGGTGGGGACACTGAGGCCTAGAGTGAAAGGACTGTCCAACATCACAGGTGTCCTGCCTCATTCCTAGGCCCTGGCCTGTTGCCCAGATATACTTGCTTCTTACTTAGCTAATGGTATTTTGAAACATTGGCCAACACTGGGCATCTGACAGAGGAAAAGAGCGGCCCCTTTCAGGAAGGCACCAGCCCTGTATTTTGCCAGAAGCCCTTGGGCAAGGCAGTCTGAGTAACACCTAAAAGGGGCTGCCACTGACAGTGGAGCAGAGAAGGGACAATGGCAGGGGTCTGGAGGGCACTCGTGCTGGTGGTAGGCTTGGCAGCAATGGCCTGTGTGGCCCAACGCAGTGCAAGCTATGAAGAGATTGTCACGGAGGCCTTGCAGATCTTCAATCATGGACAACGAGGACAGCCTCTCTTTGGCCTGCTGGAAGCCCTCCCACCGCCTAGTTCGGTGAGTGTGCATGGACCCAGGCCAGGGCAGCGGGTAACACCTGCCTTAGAGCGGCCTGTGAGGGTGGCAGGCAGGGGAGAGTGCCTGGCTCAGGCATTAGCTATTGTTATTGTTAGAGTGTTTCTCCCATCGGAAGGTAAGAAAAGGTTGCAATCCTGGGCCTGACAGCTGACTAGCTGGGAAATTTGGGGCTTCACCCAGGCATGTGGGGCCCTGGGCTTGAAGGAATACATTGAACTCTTTCAAAAGACAGACAGGAAAGGGACTGGTTTCACCAGAGCCTCCCCAGGGGCTTCCAGTGTCCCCCTCCTGCCCCATTCCCTCTCTCCTGGCAGCTGAGCGTGCAAGGCTGCTATTCTTGTTCCTGTTTCACAGAAGAGGGAAGTGAGGGGCAAAGACCGGAATTGACCCCTCAAGGTCGGATGGCTATGAAGTGGTATCCTTCCACCAGTTTCCATAAGCCCCCACCCCACCACCACCTTAAATCTCCGCTGCGGCCACGTAGGGCCCCCACCACCACCACCACCACGGTGTTGATGGAAAGTGCAGATCTCGGCTCAGAGATTTCCAACTTGTACCTGTGACCTGTCTGTGCCTTTGTTCCCTCATCTTTGAAAGGGAGACGCTGAGGACATTTTTCTCTTGCTTCTGTAGAGCTCCACCACCAAGACATTGCTCAACTTCAGGATTAAAGAGACGGTGTGCCTTTCAGAGGGCCAGCAGAGACAACCCCAAGAATGTGCCTTCAAAGAGGGCGGAGTGAGTCTCCCGGCCCAGGGGCAGACGGCTTGTCCTCTCTTCCCGCTCAAGGGCTCTGTGTGTTTGTCCCCACCCCCGCACCTGGCCGTGTGAGGTCTCACCATGGAAGCCTTTTTAAAACCAGTTGTTTCCCCATTGCTTTTTCTTACTATAAATTATCAATCCTTATTAGACAAGTAATACATGCTAAACAAAATTACTAACTAGAAAAAGTGGGACCATAATCCACCTAGAGATAACCGCTTTTATAAAATTAGAAAACTAACATTTTATGATAGCATATTAACAAAATGTGGAGAAGCAAAATAAGGTAAAAATCCTACAACCCTACGACCCAGGGACAGACAACATTAACAGCCAGTGTGTCATCTTCTATGGTTGTTTTTATGTACACACACATTTTAAAGAAACATTGCTCCCTCCAGGCATGCTAATCTAAGGATGCTTATTCCTACTGAGTAACAGGAATGTTCTTTATCTTGATGGGTGAGCATCTGGTCCACTCAGGTCCTTCCCAGCGGTGCCCTTTCCTGGGCCCTGGGGTAATCCTCAGCTTGCATCTCTGGTTTGGGAAGATGAGGGACACGCCAGGGTGGGTCATGGGGTTAGGGTTGTTCATCCGGGGACCCAGTGGTAAGGACGTTTCCAGCCCCCGTGTTTGCCGCCCCGCAGGAAGAGCGGAACTGCACTGGTGTCTTCGCCATCCGGCAGCATTACCGCATCCTGTTGGTCAACTGCCGCCCGCGCCAGCCAGAGGTGAGCCAGTGGGTACGTGGGGCCTAAATTTCCTTGCTTGGAGAATGAGGCTGATCGAGCCCTTCTCAATGCAAGTCGTCGGGAGGATCTTGAGGAAGGCTAGTGGGCTAGTCATTTGGCAGGAGGGGAGGGGAGGAGAGACTGTTGGTCAGGGCTGGAAAGGTCAATCGGAGTCCTCTGGACACTGACTCTGCTCTGGGCACAAGAGACTCCATGGAACCTGACCCTCCCCCCATCCCACATTTGGGAAAACCGACGTCAGAGGTGGAGTCTCCTGGCCAGTGAGTGGAATAGCCAGGGTGGAAGTGAGTTCCAGAGTCCAGGCCTGCCCAGGCCCTCTGGGCTCCAAAGGGAAGGGCCTGACTGGGGACTGCCTCCAGCTCCATCACCAACGTGGCTACCTGGGCCTCCGTCTCTTCATCCTCGCCTGGAGAGAGAGGCCACAGGCAGGGCAGGAAAGGAGGTCAGTGGGTGAGGGTGACGGCAGTGACTACCCAGCATCGCTTCTGCAGGTCCTCCGCAAGAAACGTTCTGCTGGGTCCTCGGAGGCAGCCGCTTCGGAGGTCGACACATCTAAGCTGCCACCTGTGGTCAGAGACATGTATGAGAAAGCCAAATACGACATCATCGCCAACATCCTGAGAAATTTCTAGGGCTGGAGAAGGGAAAGGAGGCTCTGTATCCCCACCACGACCCCCTCTTCCCACCTGCCCACCCCCTCTGCTGCCCTCAGCACCCCCTTTCTACAGAGTCGGAGCCCATCCACACTCCTCTGCCTTTGCACACCTGCTTCCCTCTGTCTGGATTCCTGCCCATCCTGTGTCTTGGTAAATCCTACTCATTCTTCAAAGCACAGCTCCAAAGTCACCTCCTCCATGAAGCCTCCCTGCTTGCTCTGTCCTGGGCAGAAGTCTCTTTCCCATCAGTGAGGGTGATGGGAATGATGACCTCATCTGAGCATTTACCACCCTCAAACCATACTGGCACTAGCTGCTGTGCCCCTGGCCAGACAGCACTGTGTCTGCTCACAGCTGGGCCTTCCCAAGCCAGCTGCAGGTGACTGTGGAATGACTTTCCCATCCAGGCACTCCTAGAATCCTGGGAGGGCAGTTCCTTTTGTACAGGACCCTGAGCACCCCTGCTCCCTGCCCAGTCACTATGACAACTAAATGTCCCTTCCAGGAACCTCCAAGGGGGTCAGTCTGCTCCCTGGTGAGAACCACAGGAGAGAGTCTCAATAAAATGTTTCTGAAATAAATGACTAAGTGAATGAGTGAACAAATAAAGTGTTTAGAGCTGGACCAGCTGGACTTTGGGAGAGGAGACCAATGAGGCAGAACCTGGGGGCAATTCCACTGTGCCTCATGGAACCCAGAGTCCCTGAGGTCAGGGCGGAGACGATGGGGAGAAACATGGGGTTAGGGCAGAGAGGGGCACCTGAGGGCCATCTGGCGGCTCAGGAAAGCAGCACAGTAACCTACCCCCAGCCTGCTCAACTGCCTTTAGCTCCTTTATGCCTCCTCCATTATCACAAAGCTCCAGCCAGAACCTTTCGCTGAACACAACTTGTGTATCACACTGCCTCCTGGACACCTCCCATGGATGTCCAAAGGGTATCACACGCTCAGTAGCTTCCCTTCAAACCTGTTCTTCCTCCAGCCCACCTGATGGCAACGTCAGCTATCCCCAAACATGACTGTCATCCTTGGCTGCCCGCTGTCTCTCACCACTGGCATCTGGACCAGCCAGCCTCAGTCTTGGTCCCTGATGCATGCAGCCCCGAGAACAGAGCCGGGCACACCGTTGTGGAGTACTTGTCGATGGATGAACCCCCTTTTCTTCTCTAGCATGCTCCTCCTTCAAGAGTCTGTGATGCAGAAATATCTGAGTGACTCTCATTTGAGGGGCCATGGTGGAGAACCCCTTGGGGGGATGGGTTTTTTAGTCATAGAAGGAGGCTGGGGACACCATCACATATGGACGCCACTTCCCATACAGCCTCTCAGCTCTCACAACTGCCTTGCAAAGCGCACACATCACCTGTAATGTTAAGTGAGAAAATTAAGGAAACTGGTAGACTTGCCTACAGTCCACACTCCAACACCCTGGCCACCTAAATCCTGGGCAGCACCCACTGGTGGGGGAGAGGCGAGGCGGATGCTGCAGGGAGTGACCCTGGGGTGGGGCTGGGAAATGGTCAGGTTTGGGCTGAGCAGGATAGATTGAGACCCTCAGACCCTCTCCCCATAGTGGGGAAAGCTGTTTAGCTGGAGAAGGTCATGTCTCACCCCTGCAGCCCCACAGAAAGCAGCGGCACTCTCATTCACACCGCATACCACTCCCTTGCCTGACGCCCACTTCCGGAAGAGAGTGCTTCCAGGCCTCACCAGGTCTTCTAGGGGACACCAGGCCCAGCCCCTTGGGCCCTGGACACTCTGACACTGGGCTGAGCAAGCTCTCCCAGGAAGCCCACGGCCCCTCTGTGGTGGTCCGCACCGCATTCCACATGGTCCGGGGGAGCCGGCCCATCGTGCTGGGCCCCATGAGAGGTGGGCCTAGAGGACCAGCCACCAGGCACTGCCGGGGGCCACACGGTTGCATTCTCATGGCCGCGACCCATCAGGCCGCGACATAGCTCCGAAGCCCCAAATACTGCTCAGCCTCTTAGCCTTGCAGCTTCTGAAAGTCTATGGTCCCACGGAAGCAGGACTGAGAAGGGAGAGTCCACCGGGGGCAGGGGCAGGAACACAGGTCAACAGGCCTCGAGGGCTATGTTTAAAGGCTGCAGGAATCCAATTCCACTCCTCACACCTACAGAGAGACACACACAAATGTGAGTTTCATGTTTAAAACAAAAATGACCTCACGGTATATGCTCCATTTTACAGCCAGTTTCTTCTCATTTAACCTATCAGCTAACACACTTCAGTCACTATCGACCCATCACAGAACTGTTTTCTCCCTGCCTGATGCTCCACTGAGTATCTAGGCATCCATTTATTCAAGTCACTCCTGCTGCTGAACACTAACGAACGCTGTTTCTGTTTTCACGCATAAGTTCAGTTTTCTCAAACTACATGCATTGAATGTATTAGAGTCTGTTAGGATCCTAACAGGGTTTGTGTGTTCTTGAAGGGAATAAGATAACCTCAAAATTCACATGTAAGAATAAATGTCCAGGGATGGCCAAGAAAACTGTGAAAAAGAAAAATGAGTTGGGACAAAGTGACAGTGGTCCCCGAAGGGGGACAAAGGGCCCAGTGGAACAGGAGAGAAGAACCTGGAATCAGGTTGCCGCACAGATAACAAGGGACTATCTGACTAAAATGGCAGTTTGGCTCAGTGCGGGAAATGGTGGGTCTTTGCCAAACGAGGCAGGCCTCATGGTTAGCGGCCTGGAGGAAAAAGCATACGACCTGCTAACATTCCAGCTGGATTAAAGACTCTCGAGTAAAAAACAGTAACACCTTTTAAGAAAACCAAATGGCCAAACTGTGAGATAAAGAGGAAACCAGCTGAGCAATGACTAAATGCATATTGGCACAAACATATCCTGGGACAAGACACAGCCTTTCAAAATGGATTAGAGCTTTGGTGGGTGTGGGGAAAAGAATGCTCAAAAAACTATGTACAATTGAATCTATTTTCTGTAAAACGGACAAAAACTCCCAATTGTGGACATGCAGAGACATATAGATGGTTTACATGAGTATTGAGAATAGAGAAGAAAATACGCAAAGGTGTGAACATGGGCTATGGGTTGGGTGGGGGTCGGGGGCCTGATACACGTGGTAGGATGGGGGGTGGGGGCGGGTCAAGCCAAACAGGAAAAGAAGATCTTGGGAGCTACACGTTGGCAAAGCATGACTTCTGCACTTCAGTGAACTAAGGGGGTACAATGAGGTGAGCCTGTGCATAAAGGAATGAAGCGTCTCAAAGTAGTGATGGTCTGGAAGACCACGTACCATTGAGGAAAGTGTGTCCAATGACAAAAGCAGGATCCTGAGGTTTACTCACATGGGCACACACGCACACCTGACTCCACTAGGGGAGCTGCTAAACTGGGGCTGTTCCCTTGTGACGGATGTGATGATGCCCTTGGCGCCCACAGGACCCCTTACCATCCTAGCCTGAGCCCCACAGCAGACAGCAGACTTTGGGGACTCAGAAGCCGCAGTGAGAATCAGTGCTGCTTTTATTAAGCTGTAACTGACGAACAATAACTTGCACATAGTGAAGTGTACGTTTTGATAAGGCTGACTTAGTACACGCCCATGAAACCATTGCCACAATCGAGAGAGTACCTATATCCACCATCCCAGAAAGTTTCCTCACAACCCCTGTAGAACCCCTGCCTCCTCCCCTGCACCCCTTCCCCGGTTCTGCTGTCCTCAGGCAACCAATGCTCTTTCTGTCACTGCTGATTAGTTTGTATTTTCTAAAGTTTTATATAAACGGCATCTGCTAGACTGGATGTTTGGCCCCCTTGAAATTCATATGCTGAAATCCTAACCTCTAAAGGGATGGTATTTTGGAGGTGGAGCCTTTGGGAGGTTGATTAGGTTACAAGGGTGGAGCCCTCATGAACGGGATTAGTGTTCCTGCTGTGTCAGGACACACACAGCAAAAAGACAGCTGTCTGTGGACCAGGCATTGGGACCTCACTAGGCACTGAATCTGCAGGTCTCTTGATCTCGGGCTTCCCAGCCTATAGGGCTGTGAGAAATGAATTTCTGTTGTTTATAAGCCATTGGCTCTACCATATTTTGTTATAGCGGCCCGAACGGACTAGGACAGAATCACACAGCATATACCCGTTTTTGTTTGGCTTCTTTCGTGAAGCATCATTACTTTGTGATTCATTCATGCTATATCAGTTCATTCCTCTTATTGCCAAGTATGGATGTGTCACAATTTATCTATTTACCTGTTGATTGTTTGTCCACCATTTATTACTGAGTGACCTTGAGTAGGTCTCTTCCCCTCTCTCAGCCTTATTTTGCTCATCTATAAAACAGGGTATCCCTGCTCTCTCTTCAACCAGGCTGTTGAGGATCTGACAAGACTTGATGTACAAATGCTCTATAAAGAGCCAAGTGGAGCTCTGCTTGGGGTGGAGGGACTAAGTGCCCCTCACCGTCCATCTCTAGGGGCCACATATCCTATCTGTTAGGAGAGCTGTGTCTGAACTGCCCCCTAAACTATCCCAACAGAATAGGGCCTGAGGCCCTGGGAGCCACTGGAGGGATCAGAGCAGGGGAATGACACGATTTGATTTACAGCTTTGCAGTTTCACTCTGGCTGCTCTGCTTTCTATAGGCTGCAGGGGGCGCAAAGGTGAAAGCAGGGAGACCAGCTGGGAAGCCATTTAGCGATCCAGGTTCCTCTTTAAGAGATATGCTGATAATGTGGACTAGTGTGGAGGCAGAGGAGAGAACTGGATTGGAAGTAGAGGAAAAGATGAATGACTGTCATCCCTTCCCACCTCCAAAACCCATCACTGGGTTCCTGAGTGAGCAACTGGGAAGTCAAAAAAGAGATGCACTGTGAGGATGAGGAAAACCAGGGTGACCAGGTTTGAGGTTCCACTTGAGGCATGGCCATCTTGGGACACACCCAAGTGAATGTGTGAATTTGTACCGGTCCAGAGATAAGGCCCCAGATGCCTTCCTCACACATGGGAAAGGGAAGTATCAGCGAGGGAGAGTGTGTGGAATGAAATCAGAGCTCAGGACTGAGCACTGAGGCCTCTTATATTTTGAGGTCAGAAAGAGGTGGAGGCAGGCAGTACAAGAATGGTTAACAGAGACGGTCTTTGAGACAAGGACTGGTGAGCATCCCCAGACACGGGAGAGGGGGAAAATGAGGGGTCTGTATGGACACAGATCAGCTTGATTCTGGTAGTCTCGATCCCAGCTGATGGGGCAAGAACTTCCTTAACCAGAAGGGTCCAACTCCTAAGAAAAGCAGGTGCACACTCTCAGGGGGGCCCCATGACGGTGAAGAAATTCAATTATTGAAGAAGTTCAATTAGAAATTTAAAATCTTCCCTCAAATAAAAGGCCCAAATGGCTTCACTGGTGAATTCTATCAAATATTTAAAAAACAATACCAATCCTTCATAAACTCTTTCAGAAATAGAGGAGCAAGAAACACTTCACTCACTATGCAAGGCCAGTATTACCGCCCAAAGATATCACAAGAAAAGGAAACTACAGAAGATAACTTTAGTGAACATGGATGCAAAAATACTTAAAATATTAGTAAACCACATACAGCAGCATAAACATAATTATATACCATGACTGAGTTGGATTTATCCCAGGAATGCAATGTTGGATCAACATCTTAAAAATCAATTAATATTATATACCATATTAACAGGTTAAAGGATAAAAACCATGTGATCATCTCAATAGATGCAGGAAAAGCATTTGATGAAATCTAATACTGATTCATGACAAAACTTCAATAAACTAAGAATAGACTAAAACCTCCTCAACTTGAAAAAGGTCACTGATGAAAACCCCACAGCTTAACATAGCTAATGCTGAAAACTGAATGCTTTCCTCCCTAAGGTTGAGAACAAGGCAAAGATGTCCATTTTTTGCCACTTCTACACAACGTTGTGCTGGTGGCTGTAGCCAGAGCAATAAGGCAGGAAAAAAGTAAAGTCATCCAGGTTAGAAAGGAAAAAGTAAAACTCTTTATTCAAAGATGACATATCATATATGTAGAAAATACCAAGGAATACACACATACACACAGATTTTTTAAAAAGATAAAAATAAATGAGTTTAGCAAGGTCTCAGGATACAAGATCAATATAAAAAAATGGTATTTCTATATACTAGCACCAAAAATCTCTAGTATATATTTATATACACTAGCACCAAAAATTAAGCAAACAATTCCATCCACAATAGCATAAAAAAAACTTAGAAACATTTTAATAAAGAAGTGCAAGACTTGTACGCTGAAAATGACAAAATATTGCTGAAAGCAAGAAAGTCTAAACAAATGACAAACATTCTGTGTTTGTGGATTGGAAGACTTTATATTGTCAGGATGGCAATTCTCCCCAAATTGATCTATAAATTCAACATGAAATCTACTAAAATCCCAGGAAGCACTTCCATACAAACAAACTGACTATAAAATAAGCTGATTATATGGGAATGCACAGTATCTAAAATAGCCAAAAGAACTTTGAAAAAGAACAAAGTTGGGGGACTCATATTATCCAATTTTAAGACTTATTTCAGAGCTGAAGAAATCAATACCATACAATCAGTGTAGTATTGGCTCATAGGCATATAAGATCCATGGAACAAAATTGAGAGTCTAGAAATAAACTGCTATTTATAGTCAACTGATTTCAACAAAGGTACCAAAGCAATTCAGTGGGGAGAGGGAGGAAGGGAAGGAGGGAGGGAGGGAGAAAGAGAGAGAGAGGCTTTATAATAAATGTGCTGTGACAAATGGATATCCATGCACAAAAAGATTAATTTTAAAAATTAACTCAAAGTGGATCATATGCCTACATTAAGAACTAAAACTATAAAACTTCTGGAATTTCTTCATGGCCTTGGGTTGAGCAAAAAGTTCTTAAAATATGACACCAAAAGCATGATCCATAAAATAAATCATTGATAAACTAAACTTCATCAAAATTCAAAATTTCTACAATTCAAAAGACACCATTATGAAAAGACAAGCCACAGACTGGGAGAATATATTTGCAAATCATAGAGCCGATAAAGGATTTCTATCCAGAATATGTAAAGAATTCTTACAACTAATTCATAGAACACGAGAGACCCAATTAGAAACTGGGCAAAATTTGGATATTTCATTAAAGATATACACATGACTAACAAGCACAGGAAAAGATGCTCAAAATAATTAGTTGTTAGAGAAACGCAAATTAAAACCATAGTGAGAAGCCACTGCACATCCACTAGAATGCCTATAACCAAAAAGAGAGAATTTCAAGAATTGGCAAGGATGTGAGGAACCCTGAACCCTTAGACGCTGCTGGTGGGAATGTAAAATGGTGCCGCTAGTTTGGAAAAGCTTATCAGTTTCTTAAAAAGTTAAACATAAGCTTACCATAGGACCCAGCAATTCTAATACCTAGGAGTCTACCAAAGAGTAATGAACATATATGTCCACAAAGACTTATACATCATAGCAGTATTATTCATAATAGCCCCCAACTGGACACAATCTAAACATCCATCATTAATGGGAAAAACAGATAAAATGTGGTATATCCATAAGGTGGAAAACTATTCAGAAACAATAAAAGAAACAAGCTACTGATACATTCTACAACATTGATGATCCTCAAAAACATTAAAGAAAGAAGCTAGACACAAAAGACCACATGTTGTATGGTCCCATTTAGACATCTGGACATCTAGAAATGTCCAGAATAGGCAAATCTAGAGACAGAAAGCAAAATAGTGGTTGCCTGAGGATGGGAGTGAGAGAGGGGATTAACAGTAGGAGGGAAAAGGGAACTTTTCGGAATGCTGCAAATATTCTAAAATGGGACGGTGGTAATGGTGGCACAACTCTCTGTACATTTGTTAAAAATCATTGACTTGCATACCTAAAATGGGTGAATCTTAAGGTATGCAAATTATAACTCAGTAAAACTCTTATTAATAAATCTGATACGAAACAGAGGAAGACTAGGGAAGCATGATGAAGCATGATGAAGCACGACCCTTGAATGTGGACATACCCGGCAGTCCTCAAGTTCAAGAAACATACTTTTTGTGCCTCTTGTGTGTGCCTGGTGCTGGGTGCACAATCATGGACTGTCAAGGAGCGTGCCATCTACTGGGTAAGACGAGCAGGCAGGCCATTGCACAGAGTCAGGGCCAAGCACAGAGGAGAGGCACCAGGACCCCCAGGGATGCTTCCCTGCAGGGGTGACGTCTAAGGTGACACCCTGAAAGGGGTTTCAGGGAGGCTGAGTTGAGAGAAGTGCCAGATCACGACGGCCTGTTATGCTGTGCTACGAGAGCTTGGGTTTTTATCCTAACTGCAAACCCAGAAAAAGATAATTAAATAGGGAACTGAGCTCTATTAAAGAGAAAAACATCTCTCACGAGATGAAATTGGGAGCAGTAGGTCTGGGACAGCGTCTGTGAGAACGGTGCGATTCCCTTGTCATTTTCTGGTTGTGTAATGTTACCGTGAGCGGAAGGAACAACCAGCGGTACTTGTCTTTGTGGGGGGAAGGGCAGTGGGCTCTGCTCAGTGTGAGGGGAGGGGTCCAAAGGAAGTGGGAAGTCAAGCAGATGCGCGCGGCCAAAGCTGTCACCCACCAGCTCTTTGCTTCTGATCAAGGGGCGCAGGTTAGGTGGGAAGGGCTGTTATTTATTGCTTTGTAGGCATTTGACCTTTCTCCCACAGCAGAGCCTGCAGATTATACGGCTCCCTGTTCCAGCACAAAGGTGCCTGCTTCTATAACCTAAACATGGTTTTTTCTCTGCCTCGCTGCCTTCTCCAAAGTCCATCATGGTCCTGGGCAGCAGACCCCCACACACTGGGCATGCAGGCTGGATGATCACCCGCTTCCAAGGTCAAAGACACGGCTCCCCTCAGGTGAACTGGTCTGGGACTGTGGAGCCCTGGCCTCAAATCTTGACAATACTACCAGGCAGTCAAACCAAGTCAGTTACTCGACCCTTCTGAGGCAGTTTCTTTATGCTAAAATGAGTCCGGCTATTCCTGAGAGGACCAAGTGAAGGCCAACGGACAGCGTGTGTATGTGTGAAACCTGTGCTGGTGGGGTGTATGCGCGAGTGACATACCCTTCCAAAAACTAATAAAGTTGCCACCCGAGTACAATCATTACCCAGCGGATGAGACTGCCCATAAACTGGCTTTTGGAAAAGTGTGAATGAAGACTTTCCTAACATCCACAACCTCAGTAACCAGGGAGTCACCTCAGGAAGGCAGACCTGGAATGTGGCTGTATTTACACAAGTGAAAACGAAACGCAGGGGGTCCCGTTCTCCCTCGTTCTCCCACGGAAACTGGCCCGCACCACAGTGCCTGAGCTGTACCCCAACCCCAGGGAATCGGTCTCTGGGGAGGGGTCTGCGAATGACTCTGTGGTTTAAGAATTTCCCAGTGACTTTTATGTGCACCTGAGCAAAGCACCTCTGTCCGAGAGGATAAAAAGGAGCTGGAGGTTTGGGATCCAGGCTGTTCATAGGCCAACCACATTCCACTGGGGAGGTCTGGAGTTTTATGGCAGTGAGTGAAGAAAAGGGGAAATCCAAGAGGAGTGGGGATCTGGGCTGGAGCAAATATGCAACATGTTAATGAAATCTTTTGCATATTTCTCACCAGAACTCATTCTTATAAAATAAAATACACATCTCTCCAAAGACAGCTTTTGTTATATTTGGCTCTTCCCTTATTTTCACAGACATAGTTTTACTTTATCCAATGTATTTTTTCAGCTGACTTACAATAAAAATATGATTTACTTCTAATATGTATTTAAAAAAAATCAATCAGGAAAGGGCAAGAAGATATTAGAAGTGTACTCTTTATTTTTCTTTGGTTTCTTAACACAAAAGACATGCGTTCTATAAATAAAAGGAAATAAGATTTTCTGGGAAACAATAAATTGGGAGGGGGGGGAGGAGCAGAATTTCTACCTACTCACATTTCTGTGGCCAAGTCAAAAGGCTGGTCTTCAGCTCCCATCTGGCTTTGACCTCAGATGAAACCCAGAGAGAAGGCTCTGTGTGTTACCTGAAAAGGGGAAATGCCCAAGGAGAGAAGGCCCCAGTCCTCTGCTCGGAGCCGAGCTAGACCCCAAGGCCCACTGAGCACCTGTCCTAGCTCCTTGTCACACCCTTTCACAATCTCCTTGGGCCATCGATGACTCCTCTTCTCAGGATGCTATGGGAAAGGCTCCAACACCCAAGGGCCAGACCAGCCATTTGCCAACATTCACCATCACACTGAGGAACCGACCGTGAAGGGTGTGAAATGTTGGTGTTAGCACATTTGTGCTCGGAGCCCAGATCCAAGCACTGGCTTCATCTTACTTGGAAACACTCTCAGGTGCAGCAACCTGACTTCTACACCAGGAGGCGGCAGTGGATGTAGAAAGGCCACTACAGGAGCAGCAGATCACGGGAAAATGATCTGTCACCCCCAGTGGCAGAACCTGGGCCAGCATCCTAAGGACCTGGTGAGGCCCACTCATTCAATTAGCCCACCGACTGATTCTCAGCACCTTCACAGCCCAGGCTCATCAAACTTACAAGATAGGGGCTTATTATAATAAGACGAGCACTGATACACTCCTCTCTAACCGGAAACGCAGACACCAGCCTCCTTGAGTCTACCTCTGTAGGCAAACCCAGAGGGAGTGAGGAATGCTGGAGCTCCAAGAGCCCCGGCAAAACTAGATCAGATTGTTGAGTCGTTAAAAAAAAACAACACAAAAAAACATATTTCAAGTGCTTGTAGCAGAGGCCCAACTCCTAAGTGGCAGGTAACAAAGGTATTTCTCTCTGGATACATGGCGATTGCACACACTGGTAAACCTCATGGTCCTGGGCTGGGAGACGTCTCAGGCTCCACATCGTGCCTTTCTGAGCAGGCTGCCAGGCCACCCCAGGCAGGCAGCAGTGGACAGACCACCAACCAGGTAGAGATGGGGACCCTCAGCCCCTGTCTTGCATTGAAGGAATTGTAACCTCTTTTAGTCTCTACTGGAAGCATCTTAGGACACCAGGTTTTGGCAGCAGCAGTGCACTGGTCACAGTGTCCTCCTGGTTGGGTCCGGCTGTGCTATGTCAGGTCCCATCCAGGGAGGAGGAAGAAGGGGCACAGAGCATCTTCAAGAAGTCATCTGATCAGAGGAAGAAATATAAAGCCTGTTCTTTGCAGCAGCAAGAGATTCTTCCGGCTGCTAGTTCTTCATATCACAAAGCCAGTTTTGCTTGAATGTGAAGGTCAACCTTGTTGATCAGTCAGCGGAGGGAAGCCAGATCTCTGGAATTGGCGAGTGGGTGGAGAAGCAGTGGCCTGGCAGGGGAGATGAGGTTACTGGACCAAGCCAGCCCACGGCTGGTGGAAGGACCAAGTCCCTGGTTAGGCTCTAGAGTACAAACAGTCAGTGTGCCCCAGAAGCATGATAATGAGGACAGCTATCCAAGAATGATAGATGGGCAAGTGGGAATCTGGCCAGACTTGCTGCTTCCTGCTGGTCAAATAAGGAAGGCGTGACAGTGGGGGTGAGAATCTGAATGAGAGCCATGGTGGCAGTGGGAGGTAACCACGTGGGCACTCGCAGCCTCCAGCCACGAGCTGGGAGCTCCCACCTGGAAGAGTGGCAGGAATTCAGCCAACTCACTAAGCCTACGATTAAAAAAGTCCTCTGATGATGGGTGTGAAGACAAACCTCACGAGCACCTTGCCACAGGACCAGTCGAGAGCACTGATTCCAGACACACCAGGGCTCAGAGGGAACCCCAAGTGCTGTGTGAAGCCTCAGGACCCTGGCATCCGAATGTGGGCGGATACCGCCCTTTTCATGTTAGGTGGTTTTCTACTTAAACACATGTTTCCCTTTAGTGTCTTTTTTTCACGTTATTTTCTTGCAAAAAATGTTCACTTAAAAAAAAGTTATTTTCTCTCGTTTTTTTCATGTGTTTCTTTAAAATTTCTTCAGTTTCTTTCAAGTATCTTTTTTTCCCTTTCTTCTGTTTCTCCTGAACAAGATGAAAAGGACCTCACTGGAATGCCAAAATGAGACACAGGAAAAGCTTCTGTTCGCCTTGCTGACCCAGCGACGAGGACACAACCCTCGGTGCCCCAGGACGGAAGAAGGCGGTGCTGGGGCTGCATCGTCGTTATCACAGGCAGTAAGAACACTTCAAGTGCCGTTCTCTCTCAGCTACACCCCCGTTGCCAACCGGCTTGGCCACTGCAGCCACCCCGTCATGAACTGACCAGCACATGGCTGGAGAAGAGCAGGCGAGGAGTGTCAGATGGAAGGCCTGCTGCCCGTGGGCGGCCCGGAGCTGTGGCCGGTGGGAGCTGGGCTTGGATGGAGCCTGTGTACGTGTGGACCAGCGAGGCAGTCCCATGTCACCAGCTGTGGGACCCAGAGGGGCTTCTGTCTCATGCTGTGCATCTTGATGACCTAGACCTAAGGGTCACAAGGGCAGCACAGTGAGGGAGGACTTAAGCACCTGGGAAAACTGTACCTCCGGTGAGCTCACATTTCACCCCGTCTTCTGATCCACCACCTCTCCCGGAAGGGACTGTCCCTGGAAGGAAGTGCCTATGTTTGTACCAGGTGCCTACCCCACCACGTCCCGCCCTCTGCCTTAGATGGTGAGGAGAGGGATGCAGCCCACACCGACCCCGCCCTCATGACATGCCATGGGGGCCATGAATGTCCAGCAGTCCGTCTCTGGGTCGTACATCTCCACTGAGCTCAGGTTCGACTGTCCGTCATAGCCCCCCACGGCGTAGAGGCGCCCACAGCTGGCCACCAGGGAGACGCGACTCCGGCGCGTGTGCATGGGGACAATCAGGCACCACTGGTCTGCTATGGAGCTGTACATCTCGGCGATGCTGAGGAAGCCAGAGCCATCGTAGCCCCCGCAGACAAACATCTTGCTCCCCAGGGAGGCAGCCCCATGCCGGCAACGCTTGTTCAGCATGCCAGCGGCCGGGTGCCAGGTGGCCGTGTGGTGGTTGTAGTGCTCCACCTGCAGCAGGAGAGAGGCACAGGTACAGGACAGTCAGTCAAAGCTCCGCCCACGGGGTGGCCTTGCGGGACACGGTGGCTCACATGGTGTCAGGCTCCAGCGGGAGGCCTGGGGACAGACAGCTCTGCCAGTATGTGCCCTGGTTTCCTCGGCCGCATGCCTGCTCTTGGGCTTATAGGGACAGGTGAGAGCGTGCCTAACCTGACCTCTTCTGTGTAATCTAAGGAAACAACTGAAGGCGCTGCCAAGGCCGCACTGCTGTGTAGCGACAGAGTGGGGTGACAGCGGGGTCTCCTGAAATCTGTCCAGGGTGCGTTCCATCACAGGGACTCTAGGGAGCAGCCGCTAAATGGCTGTTGGGGTTTTCTAAAGAATAAATCCAGAAGAATACAAGTGTTTGCAAAGCCACACTCCGTGTATACGAGCTTACTTTGGGCAGCACTCTCCCCAGGTCTCAAGCAGAACTAGGCAGAGTGGGGTGGGGTGGCTATACTCTACCCCGCCCCCGCCCCCCACACACTGGTCCCCATTCTCGGAAGGGTTCAGAGAACCCAGTAATGGCCTGAAACCTCACTCAGTGATGCCTCACCCACAATGGCAAGGCTGAAGGTTTTTTTTCCAGAGAATTGCCTTTCAAAATAATTCTCAAAAATGGAAGGAGTAGGTGCCCTTAGCCCAGGGGACCCCAGACTCACACTGCTGAAGATTTGTAGGCCGTCGTGGCCACCCGACACGTGTATCCTGCCCTCAAAGACTGTGACCCCAGCAGCACTGCGATTCGAGCTCATCGGTGTCACCACTGTCCACCTTTAGGAAAGAGTCAAAGTAGGAGCACAGCCATGAGACCCAGTACCCCATCCTCCCAGGATAGCCTAGAAAGGTTCGGGCACACTGTGCTGCGTCCCCGTGCGCCCGGACAATCTCCCCACCGCTTAGTGCCTCTCCCACCACCTGCTCATGGCTTTCTCTGGCTGCCACCTGTCCCTCGGCATCAGACCGGCAGCTGGTCTCTGCTCATCTCTGCCAGCATGACCCCAACGAGGCCTCTTACAGATCAGTTCCTCCCCTGCGTTCCCCATCTTGTTAATGGGACTACCTGCTACCTAGTTGCCGTACTTGTAAAACTCAGCATTTTTATGGCCTCTTTTCCCTCATCCTCAATATTCTTGTGGACACCAACTCCCCGATGGTTTACCTCCTAGTCACTGCCTGTCCCCAACCCCTGGCTCTGGGCTCTCACCTGGACCACTGCAACAGTCCCCTCACAAGTGGCCTGGCGTCAGACTGTTCCCATTTGGACTCTCCAGTGGCTCCTCACTCTGAGGCGGAGTCCAAGTTCCCAAACGCAGGCCTTGACCACTGAGTCCTTGTCTACACACCAGCTTCACCTCCTGACATGTGCGCCACCCACGCCCACTCCTAGCTCACTAAGCACTCTTGTCTCTGAGCCTCAATTCTTGCAGTCTTCCTGCCTCTGCCCCAACTGTGGAGAAGGCGAAAGCGTGCCCCACTCTGGGCCCAAGAGCTCCAGACGCAGGCCCCCCGCGCCGCGGGGATCTCAGACTGCCTGCCTGCTGCCCGATACATAATACAGTGGTTAAGTGAACGGAATGTTGCCTTAGAAGCACTCTGATGACTCGGCTCCCCTCGTGTGCTTCTATTTTGTAATATAATGTGAAAGATTCAAACGCTGAAATGAAAAATGTGGGCTAACCTTGCTAGTGTTTTCCAAAGAGTGCTCCACAAAATAATTCCACACAATGGTGACAGGTGTCACATGAAATGAGATTAAACAGGTCTCTTTCCATAGAATTTTTAGTCTTTAAAATGTTAATGACTCGTTATGGAAAGCTAGGGCTTTGGTGGTACCAACAGCAACATTTCACGAACTTCTCAGACTATGTAACTTTTTTCTTTTTTCAAATCATAGCCTATCCACTTTAGAAAGTGCCGTCATCTATTAATTATCCTCTTTTACCTGCATTTCCATTACGATGGGCTGATTTAAATAAGAGGTAGAGCATTAAATAAAAGTTTCCCAGTATCTATGCTGACTATTTGTTTTTAAAATTTATTTAATCATTCATTCATTTAACCAAAGGTTATGAAATGTCTATTATATATGCAAGGTACTATGGGGGCTACAGAGGTGGGTAAGATATGCTCTATCCTCAAGAAGTGTGATTTAAAAACTGCAGTTCTAAGGTTTGATGCTCTTTGTTTAGCAAGCTCCAGCTGCCGCAGGGGAGCCGGAGGCCTTACTTGTCTGTCTCAGGTGAGTAGGTCTCCACAGAGTTGAGAGAAGAGCTGCCATCGTAGCCCCCACAGACGTAGATCTGCCCATCCAGCACGACCGTCCCCATGGCACTGAAACAGACAGAGGTGTCATCCCAGCGGGGCCTCGAACTTCCTGGGGCAACCGTCATGCTCACTGAGCAAGAAACCTAACCACCAACTGCCTCTTTCTACACCAGACCTAAAGCCCAGGTATGTGATTAAGTCACAGTGTAACACGGAGGGAAGAAGCTGCCCTGTGGGTCCTCTTGCCTCCTAACCCCCGGCCTGGGGTTGCCTCCCCTCCCCACTCTATGTCCTTGATCTGTCTGATGTGCTCACCTTGCTGGGCTCATAGTCTAATTTACCTTTAAGGCCCTGGTCCAATTACTCACTCTCCTCCTCAAAAAGCCATCCTGGACCCCTCAGTAAGGGATCTGTTCCAACCCCACCCTTCTAGAGCAGCCTCTTTATTACAGCACTTGTCTCCTCCCACCCCGCTCCATTTCTCATTAGGCACTCATGAGGCATGCTGGCCCAGGAACTAAGTTCAGAAGGGTGAGTAAACCAAAGCTGCTGCCCACAGGTGATTACGTTCTGGCACTACGGAGCCCAGGAACTGACCTGCCACCTCTTAACATGTGGGGACCTCCTGGAAGACAGGGGTCTTCCCTCGACAATGCTTAGTGTGGTGCTTTGTACATTACAGGCTCCCAACATAAGTTTGTTGTGTCACCCTGATTTTCTCATTCAATTTGCTATAAAGTTTGACAAATGTCTTTTCATTACAAACACGGCCCTGCATGGCCCTAATTTGTCTCAGTGGGTGATGTAACTGCTCCTGTTTGTCGTGCACGTACCACACGTTCAAGTACTCTATGCTCGCCATTTTCCATCCTCACCACACCCTGTGAGGAGGTATCACCTTCCGGGCTCCCTTCTCTGACTGCCCGGAGAGAAGCAGGCCTCAGATTTAAATGAGACAAGCCTGACTCCCGTGCTGTTCACCATGCCAAGCTCTCCTAATACAAAGACCCAGGGATCTGGTGTAATCATAGTCTTCTGCTCTGCACAAAGCCTCATGAGAAGTTAAAACACCAATGCCAAGCTGCCCGATTGTCTGTTTTCAAACCTAATGCTGGAGAAGATTAAAAATGAAACTGGGTGTCTAACAAACAGGAAAATAAAATATACCAAGCTTTCTGCCACCTTTCAAATGTACGTAGCAAATCAAACTGATCCAAGCAATGTCCTTTTGAGGGACATGGTAACAGACCTCCTGAACAAGCCTGAAAGAGGAAAAGGACTTGCCTCAGGCGAGGACTGTGGGAAGATCACAAACTAGACAGGTCACCATCCTTCTAGAAGTGGACACAAGTAACAACACAGGAGTGCGACAAAAATATGAGAAAGAATTAGGAGGTGCCACAAAACTACGTGAGATTAACTATGAACTAAGAGCGGGGAGATAAGGAGGAAGGCTGATCAGTGTGGACTGGAAACGTCCGTCAGAGAAGGCTCCATGGAAGCAGCCTGGAAGGCTGGAGAGGGAAGGAATGACGGCAGAGGAGCTTGTCACCAACTGGCAGGACAGAGGGCTGTGTGGGATGGCGGGAGAAGTGACTGAGAACATTTTAAGGCAGCCTGTAATTTAAGGGGATGGAATAGAGCTACTAATAACAGGGCATTAACCACAGTGAGGGAAATGAACCCCCAGAGGACTCTCCTCCTGACAACGCTCCAAACCCCGTGACATCAAAGCTAGGAAGTGGCCCACAGTGGACATACAAGGAAGAACAACTGATTGCAGTCAAAGCAGAAAAGGCCCTCAGCGTTCGGGGAGATGGAGCAATGAGTCATTCGAGGCCACAGAGAACTGCCAAGTATCGAAGGAGCAGGAAGGGGAAGCCCCGAGGCGGTGACGGTGGGAGAAAGAACCACGAGAGCATTAGCTCACCGCACAGGGAGCAGGTCTTTATAGACATACTTTTTTCTTCCAAAACAAACGTACTTTGACCCTCTGTGAATCTGGTCTTCTTGGTACAAAGGCAGACTCCTCCTGGCTCAACGCCACATACTAACACTGATGAAAGTGGAACATGTATATCGTGGCCGTGACACTTTCAGGTGGCAAAGGACTCCCACACTGACTACTTTGTGTCACCACACGTGCAGTCACTTGATTTTTTTTTGTGTGGTCCCATGACCTTACCGGTGGAGAACCCACGGCATGACCAGACAAAGTGGCCTGTGAGGCAATACTTAGACCACAGAATTATGAACTGGAAGGCCCTTAGGGAGCCGCTGGTCCAGTGGTTTTCAAGCCACCCCTTTCAAAAAAAAATTCATGCAACTTTCCCCCTAAAGTTGGGCATATGTTTTGGAAGCTCAATATGCAAAAGGCACACGTGGATCTGTTTTGGTTAAGTGGGTGGGGGGTCTTGGACTGCTTTCCTCTCCTGTCAGTCCTGGAGAGAAACATCGGGGTGCCATGTGAAGCCACCGATCTGGTGTGGCCTCTCAGAGGGCAGGAGAATGGAAGAACCGGTCCAGCTCCCCCTCCCACTCCAAAGCGCCCACTGCCCAACTATGGAAATACGTCACACGCGTGTGATGGAAGATGCCGCGTGAGAAGGCTGAATGAGGGCACTCTCGGATGTCCTCTCATCCCACTTCTTATTCAGGAAATGTGAGCAAGCAAGCGATGGGGGAACAAGTAGCTGGAATGTGTTGAGAGACATGTCAACTCGGTCCACCTCACCAACAGCTGCGAGCTCGTGCCTGGGGGGACATGTGGCGGCCCTGACGTGATCACTGCTATGAGTCACATGCTCCCCGGGTAACGGAAGCATGTGCCTGGCAGGAATCTCGGGAAAGAAAGCATAAAGAATAACACCTTCATTTCCTCTTATCACTTGTAAAGTTAAATCCTCCTCCTGTGTGTTTCCACTTTAATCCCACCTCTTCCCTGAAATCTTCCAGACGTTCCATCCAGCTTCTCTCCCTCATCGAATCTTCCATAATACACATTCCCAGGCCTTATCTGGCACTTAAATAACAACACAACTTCCACATGTCCACGTCTCCCCAAGTTCTCAAAGGACAAGGCAGGCATTTTAACTTTTAAGCAGATGGGGAGGTACTGGCAGGGGTCGGTCTGGCTGCAGGAAACCGCCAGGACGGAACTTATGTCTGACTGTATCACGTGCCCTTGCTTATCCGGCCTGGTGCTCCCCAGATGCTCAGTGTGTAGCTCGGGCTGCACAGGTGGCTTCCAGAATACCTTCTCTTGCTATTCATGCTCCCCGCTCTGGTCCATGTGTCCGTCTCCGGGTTGTACACCTCCACAGTGCTCAGCCGCAGCTGGCCGTCATATCCCCCGATGGCATAGAGGAGCCCGTTCACCACGGCCACACCAACGCGGCTGCGGGCTGTCGTCATGGGATGGCACTTCTCCCAGCGATTGGCGACAGGGTCAAACACTTCCACCACGTTCAGGGAATCACCTGCATAAAAATTTGCTACTCAAATTAAAACACATGAGACCACTCGCTTAGATCACACTGGTGGGTGCTGATTATATGGAACGTTTAACTTGATTCTATCAGCTCTTCCCACAGGATTTCTCAAGCCGGAAGGGCCCACTAAGAAGTTTCAGCCACGATAACCTCAAACCTAATTCTTTAAGGAAAATCAGAATCAGACGGGAGGCATTTGCTTTCCAGAGAGGGAAGTTTTAAGTTGCGATGAGGCACTCCACCTGCCTAAAACTAACAATGAAGGCAGAAGGATACACTATTTCCCCAATGCAGGAGGCGTGCCGGAGGGAAGGGCGTGGGCCCCAATGCCCACTTCCACTTGCTCGCCCATGGCCCTGGGCAACTTGCTTTGTATCTCCACCTTCTGTTCTCACATGTGAAAAGAAGATAATCTCTCTGGTGGAGCTGCCGTGTGGGTTAAATCCCCTAGCATAGTTCTGGAAGAGACTAAGTGCTTGATGAGCAGTAGTCATAGCAGCAACGAATGGTAATTCCAACCCGACCTTTTCATTAGGTTTTTGTGAGAATCAAATAAAAGACTTCCCCTCCCTGTTTTATTCTGCTCTGGGGCACTTTAGCACCCGTCACACGACAGCGTTTACTAGTTGTGGACTTGTCTTTTCCAGGTCATACGATCAACGAGTGGCAGAGACTAGTATCCACCTCCCATTAACTTTCAATTAAAAATAAAATTGCCCAGGACTGCCCACCACTGCCCCACCTCCCACAAGCCTGGACTGGCTGTGAAAGGCTTGTCCTCCACATTGAAGATGACATTCCCTGTGCCAATGTACTGCCGGGATTCAGGTGCCCATGTTGCCCTCTCTACTGAATCTCTACTGCCCTACAATGGTGCCTAGGGTGAGAAAAAGGGACGGGAGCCCCACGGAGCTTTCCTGAAACCTTGACTGTATGATGAGAGCTGCCAGTAGCACATGGACTGTAAAGCATGTGTGTGTATCACAGGAGCTAAGAGCAAAGGGTATTTTTGATAGTGACAGACCCTGTGTATGTGGAGAACCGTCCTTCTACAGTGATGTTCTCGTAGTCCAGCGGTTCTCAACCTGTGGGTCGCGACCCCTTTGGGGGTTGAACGAC